GGTGGTGTGTTTTTTTTTTAACGTATGGTTCATGCAACCCCAGCTTATTAAAAAAACCCCAAACCTCACTGCAGTGAAATTAAAAATTCTTACAGAGTAGCCGTAATTGAAAGCTGCGTTGCCTTTGAGTCATCTGAGAAACACACAGCGTGATCAGCATGTTGTATCTGTTAAGGCTGCTCGCCTGCCAGAGTATTACTTGCCTCTTGCCCCGAGCTCAGGGGTCGGTGTCTCCCTCTAATTTGTCTCTTCATCAGGGACCCAAAAGGAGAGAGGGCATGCTGCAGGGGAGTCAGTGCGTGTTTGTGTGCCTGGTTTCCAGGGCAAGATTGGGAAACTCCTTTCTATTTGCAATATGTGCCATCTGCGCAGCTCTTTTCCTCACAAAACATTTGCACTTTATTTTCGTGAAGTAAATGTGAGCTCAGCTGAGAAGGGCGCTTCTCGGAAGTGTAAAAGCAGGCTGTCTCTACCAATTTCTGTTCTTTTCAGCTGTGTTTACCGCAACTCTCTTCTTCACCTTCATTTTCTGTGCTTCCTGTTGGAAGAAGACATCTGACTCTCTTGGTTTCCCTTTCAGTGGTCAGGTGCCAGTTCTCCACACCACAGCGTGCTCTCCAGGCCTCGGCTGTGCTGAGGAGAGTCTCTGATGAGCAGAAGGAGCCACTGGCATCTTCCTCTCAGCAGCAGTTCGATTCACATCCAACCGATCACCAGCCTGAACAGGAACCTCAAGGCCCTCGCCCCAGGTAACTCACTAGCTATTTCTAGCGCTGTCCTGCTGACAGCGGGATGAGAAGAAGGCTTTGCTTTCCTGAAAGGCGCATCTGAAGCTCGGAGACAACGGCATCCAGGGTTAATGGAGCCTCAGACTTCAGCAGCTGGAGAGCTGGTTTGCTGTGACAGGGCAAATTCCAGTGTCTGCCGTGGAGGCAGGATGGGACTTGCTTTCAGAGGGAATTTCTCTGGTCTGCAAAGCGCAAGCCTTCACTTCTGGACTTTTGTGTAAATCTACGCAAAATATGGACAATAGGTTGTCCACATGCCTATAACTATAAAGCCCCCTTTGGAAAAGCTTATAGTTTAGATTTTTTTTAAAAGAGGGGGAATCTGAGGCTGATTGGTCTCCAGGTAGGCACTTAGATTGAACCCTCCCTTATTTTGCTCTTCTCCCCTCATGGCAAAGGTTCATTAAGAATCCTTTTTCTGGAAAGGGAAGGATTTTACAGGACCAGGCGACACTTGTACTAAGCAGATCTCAAAGCGTGCCTGCACGCAGCGGTGGCAGCGAGTGAGTGGCAGAGTCCAGGTTGCTGATGTTTGATGGTGACGTTCCCCTCACTGTAACAATACCTTCTCATAGTTACACTGGCCAGGGCGGCCAGGAGTCTGAGGACTATGAGAGCGAGGAGCAGCTGCAGCATCGAATCCTCACAGCAGCGCTGGAGTTTGTGCCTGAACATGGCTGGACTGCAGAAGCCATTGCAGAGGGAGCCAAGGTATGTGGGGAGAGAAGCAACAAACCAGTTGAAAACTGGATGAAGCTGAAGTCCACAGACAGCCAGGCCCGCATGCTTCCCCCACATACTCTTGGGCAATACACCCTAGTCAGCAAATGGTACTGGGCAGGAATGCGTCCCAGCTACTACAGGATAACCCTGTCACAGTTAAACTAAGGCACAGTGTAGAGTAGTGATCCTAAAGAAAGGAAAACATGTACAGGAAGTGCTTTTTAATGCAGCGTTGCTTTGTTTAAATTCATATAGCTTTGTTCACAAAATAAATACAACATATTTCATAGCTGGATCCTGCTTAGCAGTGTATGACCCAGTCTGTGCTTCTCCCTTCTTCCCTGCAGACACTGGGTCTCTCTGTTGCTGCCGCAGGGATGTTTCACAGTGATGGCAGTGAACTGATCCTGCACTTTGTGTCTCAGTGCAACACCAAGCTGTCTGAGCTGCTGGAGCAGGAACAAAAACTAGTGCAGCTGGGCGAAGCAGAGTGAGTATTGGGTATGAAAAGACATCTTCTTTAGCAGGCTTTGGGGACTGGAGAGGCAGAGAGGCCACATAAGACACAGATACTTTTAAGTAAAAAACGTAACTTACCCAAATAAAACCACCTTCCCAGATACAGAGTTGGACCAGAGGCATGAAAGATACATAATACTTTGCATATCTATTGCTGAGGCAGGCAAGATATCGATCTTTCAAGTTCAGAATTGAGTTTAACTTCCATATTTCATGTCTGTATTTTGGTTTCCTCACCCAGGAAGAAGCCTACAGATCAATTCCTGAGAGATGCTGTGGAAGCCAGACTGAGGATGCTGATTCCATATATTGAGAAATGGCCCCAGGTATAAAATGACTATCAAGACTGTCTCTTTTTTGGTGTGTATTTTAAACATTCTGTAGCCTTCAACTTAGTCTCTCCACCAGAACAGTTCCAGGTTGTAAATGAAACCCTCCCTGGTTTCAGATGAATCATACCCTTCAAGAGGAGAGCACCCTTGGAAGAAGGCAGTTAAAGGTGTGCTTAGAACAACTATTTCTTGCAGTTCCAGAAAGGCAAACCTCCATTGTTCACTCCACCCATCTGGGATCCCCAGGGGATAACCCGTGTCTCTGCTCAGCCCTATTTGCAGTGTCACTGCAAGTCAAGCTCCTTGCAGCATTGCTCCAGTTGCACTGGTATCATCTGATGTCTGGAAATGCAGAGCTGCTGCTTTGTTGCAAGAAACTGCCTGCCTAGTGTGCGAATGACAAACCCTTCTCAACCTGAGGAGAAATGAGAGGGCTCCATGCTTCAAAATTCAGATTTAAGTCTCAAGCCTTTCTTCCCAGGGTTGGAAGGGAATTGAATTGTAGCCTCAGTAACAAGCAAGGAGGTCCCAACCTTGGGCTGCAAAGATTGCTGCAAAGTCAGCCTCTGTTGTCCAGAATCGCTGCTGGCCTCTGGGCAGCTGAATCCAGCTCTCCTTGCAGAGTGAGAAGACAGGATTCATGTTTTTGTTCCAGATTAGCATAACTTCTGAAGGATGTGGGTGGTTTGTGACTCCCCTGGCATTGTGTTACGACGTTCAAAGGCTGCAGGATCCCAGTAGGGCCATTATGGCTGGCTGTTCTGCCCTTGGTCGCTGCTTTGAGTTCAAAGTCAAATTCAGAAAAATGAGAGATTTGACTCCCTGCCTGTAGGGGCACAGCACAAGCGTGAGTCAGCTCAGCCTGTGCTGTGTTTCCGTGCCTGGAGAGGCAGCTCGGGAGAGACAACGCAGTGGTGTTTGAGCTGAGCGAGGAGCTTTGGGCTCCAGCACAGGCCGAGGCCTAAGCTCAGCTGCCACACTGTGCATTGCCCGCAAATCCTGCCGCTTGGAAAGACCAGTGCTAGCTGAAAAGAGCTGGGAGGACTTGTCACTGGGAGCTGGAGGCAAGTCAGCAGCACAGGGAAAAGATAACAGAGCAGAGCGTTGTTGGTCTGCTTTAATGCTATGTCCTTCTCTCTTCGACTCTCCTGTTTATCTTGTGTGTTTCCTTTGCAGGCTCTGAGCGTCCTGTTGCTCCCACATAACATCCCTTCCAGCCTCAACCTCCTCACCAGCATGATCGATGATATATGGCACTATGCTGGAGACCAGTCCACAGACGTAAGTCCTTCTGCTCTGCAGCCTGGCTGGTTCTACCCCTAGCACTTCAGCAAAATGACGGGTTGGAGTAGGCATCAGGCCACGTCTCTCTTGAAATGATCCGTTTGTTGTTGACTGAGGGAATACATTTTCAGAAGCACCCAAGGGTCCTTATAAGCTATAGTCTAATTTCCAAAGAGACTTAGGAGCCAATGGGACTAAATGCAAATTAGTGCCAATGAGATTAGTGCAAATTAAAAGGACCTACTTTCCTAGACTCTTTTAAGTACTCTTTTTCTTTTTTTGAAGACACAGACAAAATTATTGAGATTTTGAGACTAAGAAGTTGGTCCAGTACTCAGTGAGCAAGCAGCGTGTCTCTGTCGAAGAAGTTGTCTCTTCCACCAGCATTTACAGATTTGACTTGAAAACCATTAAAGAACCTACCTAAAAATACCAGTAGCTTATTAAAGCTTTCATCTTTCTGGCAGGAAATAAAAGAAAATTATAACTTTAATTAAAGCAATTAATAAATTACTTTAATTCATATAGACGTAGGGAGAGATGGGAAAAGCTAAATGAACAATTTTAACAAACTACTTTAATGAGCTTCTTTTATCTGAGTATAAAAGAGAAGCTACTGCAGTGAAAAATAAATAAGATGACAGAAAAATTAAAGGAATAAACCAGAAGAGCACTAGACTATGATTGCATCAGGACCTGCAAGTCCCTTACGGGTTATGAAAGTCAAACCAACACATCACAGTCGGTGTCTGCACTGAGCTATTCCTAAAGTCTCCTCACCGACGCAGGGAGCGGGAGAGTTTCTGAAGATTGTCTTTTGTTTGCACCTTCTGACCAGTTACAAGAGTTTTCTTGGGAAGCTGTGATGCTGAGCCCGCTCCCTTTTTCCTGGGAAAGGGGTTTAATGTCACTCGCAGTGCAGCCCTCTTCGCAACACCTGGAGCTCAGTATGCCCATGCCTCAGAGACCCCTTCCGGTGTTTTTTTTGGAGCAGGAGGAGAATCAACAGAAAGAGTTTGGTCTCAGGCACGTGAGAGATACAGCTGCAAGTGGCAGCATCCCTCATGTTTGTCCCCTTGTCAAAGCTTGCAGGGTATGGTGCAGACAGCAGAGCTTTTGAGCCAACTGTTGTTTTCAAAATCAAGGCCAGTGTTTTCATTTCTCTTTTGCTTTGTAGTCATGAATGGAACAACCGGTATTTTTTTAGGTACTCAAATAGTTTAATCACTGTAACTGCAGCAAAGGAAGCTGAAGACTTGTTTTTAAAAATGTTTATAGTCTGCCAGTGGTTCAAGTGCAGCTGGAAAAACTGAAGAGTTATTTGTGTGTCTTTGCGTTGTGTAACCTACTGTTGTAGCACATCCTACAGCATTGCTGCCAGCAGCGTACTGGTGCATTTACTGATTAGCAGGCAGTACTGATATTGCAATGATAGGATTTGGGAAAGGTGTATCTCTGTGTGCTGTCTTGCACAGTTGTGTCCTCTTTCCTGCCCTTTCTTCATGCATGTTTATTTGGTGCAAACTGCAGCTCAAGTTCAGTACTAAATATAGCCATTTCTCATCTAATCAGATCTAGAATCGGAGCTTTGCATTGCCTGCCTCCAGTCTGTAAAGCAAAGGTGAACTCTTGCTCCATGCACGTGGGCTAGCTGGGCAAGGGAGAATTCCTTGCTGTCTGCTGCAGGTGCCTGCCTGCAACCAGAAGCAGGTGGTGGGGATTTCATTCAGCAGTTTTAGACACTGTACTTGTGACCTCTGTCTGGTGCTGTGGGAGCAGCTGTGCTGTCAGATGTCAGTGTTTGCTGGTGGCCCACTGCATCACAGAGACGAGTTACGCAGTTTAAGAGTTTAACTCGGGAAGGAATGTGCCGTCGGTATGCTATTTTCCTTTGCCATTCTCCGGTCAGCTTTCGTGAGCTGCGTTCTTGATGTGCATTCAGGTCACACCTTTCTCCCTCTCCCTCCCTCCCTCCCTCCCTCCCTCTCTCTCTCACATTTCATGCTCTTGCAGTTTAACTGGTACACTCGTCGGGCTGTGCTCACTGGCATCTATAACACCACCGAACTGGTGATGATGCAGGATTCATCCCCTGACTTCGAGGACACTTGGCGCTTCCTGGAAAACAGAGTAGCTGATGCCATGAACATGGGCAATACAGCTAATCAGGTAACGTTACGGGCAAGGCATACATGCAGCGTCCCCCTTCTCCCCAAATACATATGCAGACAGACCTGGCTTTTCGATCATGCAGACCACACATCTGCCAAGAGACCACCTCGTACTGGCAGGTGATTGCATAAATGCTGTTGGTGCAACATCAGTAAATGCTTATGTATTTTCTAGTAAAACGACTGGTAGGTGCCCTCTTTGTCAGGCTGGCCCTATGGTTGAGAGACATATATTCCCAGGGGGTCTCTTCTGTGTTTCTTATCTCTGGCTATCATTTGTCTGCAGTGCTTGGCTTCTGCCAGCACCTTTTCTGTAGCAAATACATGTTTATTGTGCATTACGTCTCTGTGTTTGGGTGGCCACAAGTGTAACTGCAGAAGAAAGCAAAAGGTCATGTTCTCTTTGTGTCTCCCAGGTACAGTCAACCGGAGAAGCAGTTGTCCAGGGCCTGATGGGAGCTGCAGTTACTGTAAGTGATGCTAAAACTGGCAGGGCTGAAAAGGCAGAATTGTTTCTGTTCCCTTCCATGCTGGATGTTAGCATGCTTTTCCTTCCAAATCTAGAGGACAGCATGAAAAATAATTGCCTTTCATAACATAACTACATGTAAGGAGGATTCCCCACTTAGTTTGGGGTTAGTTCACTGTTTTGTGGTGAAAGAACTTGTAATAGAGCATAAAAAATTAAGTCTGAAGCTGCAGGGTGAGCTTTAGGGATGAGAGACAGGCCGTCAGAAGAAATACAAGTGTTCTCTGTCACTTGTCACGAGATCTCTTCCTCTGCCAGTCCCTGCGCTGGAGATCTTGACGGAAGGTCCATGCCCCCATGGACGCACGGGAGGTGGCACCTGTCCCTGAGCCACAGCAGGTGACTTCCTCAAGCTGTTTCAGTTGACTGCAGTGCCCTTCCAAGAACTCATTCACTTCTTGGTAGCATGATGCACTGCTCTGTGTCCATACAGGACTTCCTCTAGGATAGGAAACAATCCTTTGCATACCCAGGAATGATTTTTGAAGGGCTTCAGGGCCTCCCCTCCCTGTCTTTGGACAACTCCCATTGCATTTTGCAGCAAAGTGACTTCCTTGTTACCAGAAATACGTTTTCCTTCTACCGGTACAAGACAAACAGGCTGGAACATAAATTAGAAATAATTTTTACTGTATGAAGCAGTTCTCAAGAATTTCTCCCACCTCCTTCCCCCTGCAGTTATGGTGGAATTGTTTCCTATTTTTAGCATTTCTCAGCCTCTCTCTGCTTTCACACCTGCGTATGCCAAAATATCCTCCCCCAGAGAAATCCCCATGCTCTGTTTGTGCTCTTGTACGTCAGCACGATGCTGTCTTGCAGATTGCATCCCTGCAGCTGGGGTCCTAGATGTCTCCTATTATGGGATGTTCAGTCTGTCCGCACAGCAGATCCCCTGCGCAGATAAACAGGAGGAACTAGACTGCTCCTGAAGTGGGGTGGGTTGCAGCCAGCTGCTTTTAGGGCAAAATCATCCCAGTACGTTGACTATTAGGGGCAACCAGTCTGGACCTCACATGTCCGAGGGAGCTACACAGGTGTGCTGAGCTCTCCAGGTCTCCGCAAAACGGACAAGCAAGCCCAACACCTCAAAGGCATAAATTCACTGTTGGGGTCTGCGTGGCCACAGAAATAAAACCGAGCTGGAAACCTGCTGACTTGGAAGCGGGTTCAGGTCAGAGGGATGCCTGTGGCTGGATCTAGGGCGGCCCTTCTCCCCCCTTTTGCATTCACCCCCATCCTCTGCCCACGAGTGGGGCTTTTCAACCCCACCTCCACTCCCAAGCACGCAGCCCCCCCGAGTCACCCTGCTCCCGTGGCCTCTGGAGCCCAGCAGCGCTGCAGCCTCCAGGGCTGGGCAAAGGCCTT